TTTTTTTTTTTTTTTTTTTTTTTTTTTTTTTTTTTTTTTTTTTTTTTTTTTTTTTTTTGAAATTCTCAGATGGCTTGGATCAAAATGCAAACTAATTTAGCTCTTTCCTTAGCAAGGCAGCATAGTTTTCATCCTTAAACTACAAATCCTTTTCATCGGAGAAAACATATTATTCAGTGTCAGTTGGAGCGCCGCGTATCGTGCCGATATGCGATACACTGGGGAAAAAACCACATTGGATCTATAGTCCAGACTCTTGAAAACAAGACCAGAAAAAATACTCTTGATTTAGTCAGATTTAAGCTTAAATCAAAAAGAAATTCGCTCAAATTAAGAGGCTTGGTTCTTGCTTTAACCTTAAATTTGATTGAATCAAGAGTATTTTTTCTTGTCGATGTTTTTAAGAGTCTCGACTTTAGATCCAATGTGTTTTTTTCCCAGTGTAGAAGTAGGGATTGAGCGATTCACTCGATCTCACTTCTGTATTTCTCCAACTGGGTGCTCTACTTTCGCACATAAAACGCCTTCTGAGAGTCGAGTATGTAATGAGCGAAAATCAGCACGCACAACTTATTCATAACAACAATTGCTTCAGACGCAGCTGAAGGCGAATTGCTTTCGCACACAAAACGCCTTCAGAGAGTTAAGGGACCATCCATAAATTACGTAAGGCACTTTTTCCCATTTTAAGACACCCCCCCCCCAAAAAAAAAAAAAATTACCCAAGGCTCGACTGACCCTTCCCCCTCCCTTTTTTCCTATTATCGCAGATGTACGCATTACGTTTTCTTTTAGGGAAAAAAATGACATTTTTAAGCCAAAGTGTTCATTAGTGAAACTGAATTTCCTTTTGAAGTAAGTTCATGGGAAATATTAATGATGGAATTAGTTTAATAAGCAAAAGGACGTGGGGCAAAATTGAAGATTGTTTTTGTCTTTGGCACAGTTGAAAGAATACATTTGACATAAGGAAGAAGTCACCACTCATCATCAGACGGAGTGGAGAAGTGAGAATCAAGAGAAATGACAGGAATATGGTCCGATCGATCAGCAATCGGTTATATGCTAATTCCCTCTAATTGCGGACACCGCACCAAGAACAGCCTATAACTGGAAACCGCTTTTTGAGAAAAACGCATTCGCACGTCATTATGGTGGCAATATGAAATATAAATCATTTTAATCACACATGATCAACGCAAAATGAAAGAATATCGATAGTGAGTAAAGGAAGGGGTAACGAGCACCTTATAGGCCCTTAAGTTTATAGGCCCGTTTATAGGTCGTTCTTGCACCCATCGATTCAGAGGCCTGACTTAACTTGGAAAAAAAAAGGTTTTTCGACCTCGAGCCGTTACCTATCTATATTTTATCGCTACCACAGCATAGTCCGAAGCATAGCAGCATAGTACGTACAATCCGAAAAGCGGATGGGCGTAATAACGACCTATACGCCTATATGCTATGTTCTTGGTTTGGTGTCCTCAATTGTAATCTTCCGTCACATTCTTACGGCGCAATGATACAACTATTTGAGCTCTCCGGAATGCGTGAGGTGTCACGCCGCATTTGAAGGCGTTTTCAAGGCAGCCAAGTTCCCATACCCGGATTATCGTTTTGAATAGTTCATATTCTTTTGTTATATTCCGTACCACTTGTTTATTTTTAATCCTCGTATAAAAACCACCCATTTGCTAAATACAATGTAAATTTAATTTGCTAAATTTTTACATTGCGCTGGAGCGCACTTCAGCTATGCATTCACCACTGCAAAAATGTCAAAAGAAATCGACATGCCCAGCGTGTATGGAGGCTATTTCAATTGTAATCTTCCGTCACATTCTTACGGCGCAATGATACAACTATTTGAGCTCTCCGGAATGTTTTCAAGACAGCCAAGTTCCCATACCCGGATTATCGTTTTGAATAGTTCATATTCTTTTGTTATATTCCGTACCACTTGTTTATTTTTAATCCTCGTATAAAAACCACCCATTTGCTAAATACAATTCAAGCTGGAGCGCACTTCAGCTATGCATTCACCACTGCAAAAATGTCAAAAGAAATCGACATGCCCAGCGTGTATGGAGGCTATTTCAATTGTTATCTTTCGTCACATTCTTACGGGGCAATGATACAACTATTTGAACTCTCCGGAATGCGTGAGGTATCACGCCGCATTTGAAGGCGTTTTCAAGACAGCCAAGTTCCCATACCCGGATTATCGTTTTGAATAGTTCATATTCTTTTGTTTTGTTCCGTACCACTTGTTTATTTTTAATCCTCGTATAAAAACCACCCATTTGCTAAATACAATCCTAGCTGGAGCGCACTTCAGCTGTGCATTCACCACTGCAAACATTTCAAAGGAAATCGACAAGCCCAGCGTGTATGGAGGCTATTTCAAACGAGGACGCCGCACCAAGAACAGCCTATAACTGGAAGCCGCTTTTTGAGAAAAACGCATTTAAAATTTTGTTTTTGATGTACTGCGCGGACTTTTTTATGCAGGTACCCTGTTTTGGTGTTTTTGGGTGACCTAACACTTCTATTGAAGGATGCCGGGTAGATTTTGCGATACATTTTGGGTTTACACTCTAATATATTCAATTTTAAAAAAAGCGGTTTAGGTATAGGCCATTATTACGCCCAACAGTCATTTTGGTGGCAATATGAAGTATAAATCATTTTAATCACACATGATCAACGCAAAATGAAAGAATATCGATAGTGAGTAAAGGAAGGGGTAACTAGCACCTCATAGGCTCTTAAGTTCATAGGCCCGTTTATAGGTCGTTCTTGAACCCATCGATCCAGAGGCCTGACTTAACTCGGAAAAAAAAGGTTTTTCGACCTCGAGCCGTTACCTATCTATATTCTATCGCTACCACAGCATAGTCCAGGGTACGTAGAATCCGAAAAGCAGATGGGCGTAATAACGACCTATACGCCTATAGGCTATTCTTGGTGCGGTGTCCTCAATTCATCTTTAACTTTATTATCAACCTGACGAACAATGGATTTCTGCATTTGTTTTAAAAAATCGGCTGGAAAACTTACGAAAGGCTCGGCCCTACGTGGATGGCCCCTAATGAGCTGAAATTAGCACGCACAACATATTCGTAACAACAGTTGCGGCAGACGCAGCAGAAGGCAAATTTTTCCGTTTAAGAAGAATAGTTTATTAGGAGGCCTGACGTTTTTTGGATTGTAAATTTTCAATTGAAAAGCTTTCAGTGATTTGAAATTTTTGGAAGAATTTTGTACCAAAGTCTCAGTGGAAAACTCTTCAAGTAATGGTGTATAAACTCAACACACGATAAGTCCTCAGTTAAAGGGTATTTCTCCCAGTGAGCGATTCATAGACGAAGATATTAGCATTATTGACTCCTCATTTTTCTGGTTTTTACGAGGATAGTAATATTGGCACTTCGGCTGATAAAAGTGGATAATTCAGAAAAGATAAAGGCAAAAT